CGCCTCGAGACGCGGCTCCAACTTTCCTGCACGCGCAGGACGCCGCCTGGGCCGCGCGAGGTCCCGAAACTTTGTCCGCCCTCCCGTCGCCAGCCTGGAACCCCCACCGCGCCCCGACAGCTGCGCGAGGTCCATCCACCCGAGGTCGGCCCGTGTTTACCTCAGGCCGAGGTCGAGGCGCTTGCTCCGGCGGCCCCACTGCAGATCCCTAGGTCCCCGTCACGCCGCCGCCAAGTTCCCCAACAGGGACTCCTTCGTCCGCTGTGAGATGTTCCGGGGGTCCCCGGGGCGCTGGCTCCGTCGGCGGGGTCGGGAGGCGGCGGCAGGGAAGGGAGCGGACCCGAGCTGAGCTGCTCCGCGCGGCTTGCGCCACCGCTGCTCCCCCTCCCCCCGCCTCGCCTGGCCTCCTCCCTCCCTTCGGGGCCCCTCTACCCCTCCCTCCCTCGGCTCAGCTCCGCCGCGCCGCCACTAGTCGACACGCCACGGTGACGACGGCGGCGGCCGGACCAGCTGCACGCTCCCCGCTCGCTCGCTCGCTCGGGCTCCGCGTGCACCGCTGCAGAGCTGCACGGCACCGCAGGGGGGTGCTAGCAAACCACCTTTTGCGACAGAGGAACGTGGCGGGCGGAGTCACGTCACGCGGCTGGCGAGGTGGAGGGGGAAAGGCGGCAGGGGCGAGGACTTCTGGGAAACATTCTCCCGGTCCCGCCCTCCTCCCCTCGCAGCGGGATGTGCGCATGCGCCTTGCGTGGAGCGCTGGAGAACGCGCCGCTTTGGCCGCTGTTCTCACAAGTAGCGGAAGACAATGAAGGAGGCTCGTGGGGACCTGGATCTGAGGGAGTTTAGCGCTGTCTTTGCTGTCCTATTTTTATGGTAATCCGTCGTTAAAAGACTGTTAATATGTTGCTTGGCGGTGGATTGAGTTTTTACCCGGCTGCGTTGCCCACCTGAAATACATCCTGCGGAAAGGTTGAAGTGTCGGTAACTTGGGAGCCTACCTCGTTCTTCCCAGCTGTCGGGCATTTAAAAAATTTCCGAGTGGAGGCTTCCTAGCGACGTGCTCGTTCATCCAGTAATTTGTCGGCGCCTGCGGTATGGGACGTGTGTGCCCTTGCCTATCGCTTCCCCGTCGGGCTGTCAAATCTTTTGTCTTACCTCGGAAGTACCTCCCAGACTCTGTCAGAGTCACTGCCTCTTTTACACTCATGTTTTCTCTCCTGGACAATTTCTTCAAGCTCCTGCCCTCGGTGTCCACCCCTTCTAGCGGTGGTCCAGGCAGCCCCCCGGCCCACGCCATCGTCCAGCTAACAGCCCCCGCGGGACGGCCGGCCCCGGCCCCCCGCCACGTGGCTTCCGCAGCGGTCCA